GGATCCGCCCTCGCAGCTCTCCATACGGAGCACCAGTTCTCTTCGTACGGAAGAAGAATAAGGATCTACGATTGTGCATCAACTACCGCAAGCTCAACGCGCAAACCGTCAAGAATGTCGGGCCTCTTCCTCGCATCGACGATCTTCTTGAGCGATTGGGCGGCGCAAAGTATTTTTCTAAGTTGGATTTAAAGTCGGGATATCATCAAATCTCGATCCGACCGAACGATCGTTATAAATCCGCGTTCAAGACGCGGTATGGGCATTTTGAGTGGGTGGTCATGCCTTTTGGCTCACCAACGCCCCGGCGACCTTTCAAGCGGCAATGACCAATGAGTTTCGTGCAATGTTGGACCGGTTCGTGCTGGTCTACTGAGACAATATTATCGTCTATAGCCGGTCATTGGAGGATCATCTTGGGCACCTTCGACGAGTGTTGGAGACGCTCCGCCACGCCAAGTACAAGGCCAACCAAGTGCGAATTTGTCCGGCAAGAGCTGGAATCCTTGGGCCATTTTCTCACACCGGAGGGCACCAGTCCGCTATTGGACAAGATTCAAGCCATCGAAGAGTGGCCGGAGCCACAGAACGTCACGGATGTCCGTTCGTTCCTTGGCCTCACCGGCTACTACCAGTGTTTTGTCAAGGTCTACTTGAAGATCGCGGTCCACTTGACCAAGCTTCAATGCGAGGATCAGCCGTTTGACTTCAGAGATGATGCTCGTTTTTGGCTCTCAAAGCCGCGCTATTATCTGTGGAGGTCTTGCGCATATACGACCCGCTTTTGCCTACGCGCATCACTACGGATGCGTCCGGCTATGGCATTGGTGCCGTCCTCGAGCAACACGATGGCGTGGACTGGCACCCGGTCGAGTATTTCAGCAAGAAAGTGTCCGTCGTGCACTCCATTTACGATTCACGCAAGGAGCTCCTCGCCTTCGTCCACATGCTCAAGCGGTGGCGGCACTTCCTCCTTAGTCGAAGCCAATTCCGATGGGTAACGGATGACAATCCGCTGGTCTTTTACAAGACCCAAGACACCGTCAACAACACCATCGCTCGATGGATGGCTTTCATCGACGAGTTCGACTTCTTTCCCGATCACATTCTAGGGAAGTCTAACTGTTTTGCGGATGCTCTTTCATGGCGTCCGGGGATCATTGTACCACAGTCTATTCAACCTTCTGCGGGACAGCTTCATCCGCGGCTACCAAGCCGACCCCGAGTTTCGTGACAAGTACACGAATTGCTCCTCTCCTAATCCGGCGCCTTCTCACTACCGCATCCAAGAGGGGTACTTGCTTGTCCACACACGGGGGAAGGACCTTCTTTGCGTATCGAGTGACCCTCGCTTGCGTACACGGCTTCTTGGCGAGTTCTACGATGCTCCCGCCACCGGACACTTTGGAGTCAATCACACGATCGACCGACTTCGTGAGCGATTTTGGTGGCTCGGCCTTCTCGGCGACGTCACACGCTATTGCGAGTCATGCGAGGTTTGCCGACGCTGCAAATCCCGCAACCATTGTCCATACGGCGAGTTGCGACCATTACCGGTCCGCTTGCGGTGAAGGGAAGCAATTGCCATGGACATTACCGGCCCATTCCCCAAACACAAGACCGGCGTGGATCTCACGGTGGTCGACCGACTCACCAAGTTCGCCATGTTTTTGCCTTGCCGCTATCATGCCAAGGCACCGGAGTTGGCCGAGGTTCTTTACGCCAGTTGGATTCGAACCAAGGGTTACCCCAAGGAAATCGTCTGCGACCGCGACACTCGGCTCATATCCGATTTTTGGTTGGCGCTCATCAAACGATGGGGCTCATCTCTCAAGCCAAGTCCGGCTCGCCATCCCCAAACCGATGGCTAAACGGAGAGGGCGCATCACACCGCAAAGGTTCTCCTTCGCACTCTCATCCGCCCCGACCAAAAGGATTGGGTGGAGCGGTTGCCGGATGTCGAGTTGGCCTACAACTCGTCCATCCACCCGGCTATCGGGATGTCGCCCTTCGAGTTCGAGCACGGCTCGCCGGTCACTTCGCCGTTGGACACAATCATTCCACGAACGGCCGAGAGCGACGACCATCTTCTTTTCTTGCGTCGGATGCAAGAGCTACATGTCAAGGCATGCGACCAGATGGCCAAGACGCAGCAACGCATGAGCCAACAGGCCAATCGCCAACGTCTTCCTTGCCCATTCCGCGCCGGCGATCTCGTTTGGGTTTCCGCCGCGGAATTCAGCCTTGAACAGGATATCTCTCGCAAGCTCCTCCCGAAATGGATGGGTCCCTGGCCGATCATGGCACCCGCTGGGGATGCACCCGAGGGACCTTCCTTCACTATTCAGGTACCCGCCCACTTGCCCGTCTACCCAGTCTTCCATTGCTCCAAGTTGGCTCTTTACACGCCAGCGGAACAGGACGATTTTTTCTGGCGACGTTCGCAAGACCCACCCTCTATGCACGTTTTTCAGGAGGTCGGCAACATCATCTCCCAGCGACGCGACGGCAACGGGCCAACCGACTTGGTATATTTTGCGTACTGCACTCACAAAGCTGACCGTTGGTTGGCCCGTGCGAAACTCCAAGCAACAGCTCCGGATGTTCTCGCACGCTACGAACGCAAAATGCAAGGCAAGCCGGTATCTTCGGCTCCACGTCTCACCCGCGTCCAGATTCCGCCTTCACATCGTCAGCTTCGCCCTCGACCCGGCTTGACTTCATAAGGAGGGGGGGCGTGTTACATGCTGCGCCTGCAACAGGCTGCACGGGCCATTTCCAGGCCCGTGACGTTTTCAGGCCAACCTGAAAACAAGGGCCTACATGCCCTGTGTCGTTTCAGCCTGAAAGCCTGAAAACAAGGGCCTATAGGCCCTGTGTCGTTTCAGCCTAAATCAGGGCCTTTCCGGCACTGAGTATTTTCAGCCTGAAACTGAGGGCCATTTTCAGGCGCTGACGTGACGCGGCTGTCGGTTGACGTGTCCTGCTGACGTGGCGTGCTGACGTGGTCTGCTAACGTGGTGTTACATGCTGCACCTGTAACAAGCTGCACGGGCCCCCTTTCAGGCCCATGACGTTTTCAGGCCGAAAGCCTGAAAACAAGGGCCTACAGGCCCTGTGTCGTTTCAGCCTGAAAGCCTGAAAACAAGAGCCTACAGGCCCTGTGTCGTTTCAGGCTAAATCAGGGCCTTTCCGGCCCTGAGTGTTTTCAGCCTGAAACTGAGGGCCATTTCCGGGCCCTCATCAGTTCGACCTGCCCTGAAACTCAGGCAACAAACCAGGGTTTTAGCACAGGCCATTTCGGGCCTGTTTTCAAGACAACCCCTGRWTGAGCTTCAAYGCYAGGGTSTGGCACGTTTCGGCATTGGCAAGRRCAGCCTYCTGGACGGGCCAGCACTATATAGGACTGGCCCGCCCTGCAGGCAGGCAGGCAGTTCCTAGGTACTTCCCAGGCACTTCACGTGCAGTTCAGGAGGCAGGAGGTAGTCTTCAGGATTCGGCAGCAGCACTCTGGAGGAGCGCTGCCGTAGTAGTAGTAGCGTTAGCATTAGTCTTCAGCGCTGGGCGCTAGTAGGGTTAGCTGTAGTCTTCAGCGCTGGGCGCCATAGCAGCTAGAGTAGTACTATAGAGAGAGAGATTGGACGGAGCCAGGGAGACTTACCTGCAGCGCCATTGCTCCAGCTTCGTCTTCAAGATACCTGCCGCACAGCGCCATCTTCACAGGTTAGTACCTGGCACATGGGAGAGAGAGTTCTTCTTCTTCCTCTTCTCAGTCCACCATCTCCTTGTCACCCTCTCGCTATCTGACTTCACTGCATCAGCGGACTACGAGGGGGAGAGAGAGAGCTTGGTGACCTTCGGATCCAGACTCGACGTTGGACTTCAGACATTTTGAAGAGGGATTATTTGGGACTTGTAACGAGACTTGGTGTTGACGACTTTCCCATCTCCCCCTTCCTCTTCTTCGTCTGACCCCCTCCTCTTCGTCTGTGTATGTCTGGACCTGGCGCCTCTTTCTTGTGTATAGCGCCAGGCCCCGTCACACCTTGTGATGAGCATGATGTATGTTTGGTCTGCGTTGAAACATTGATTGGGCTAGTCACTAGTATTCTAGCATTCTGCTTCGCTATCTTGTACTACGTGAAAGAGGTCAGTCCCGGTCAGGTCAGGACTTGTATCTAAATCTTCCACTGCGCTATAAAAACACCATGTTGTATGTATCAGGATGTACACTGCTTGTTGAGATCCTGCTTACACTGAATTGTCCATTCAGTCCTTTTTATCACTTTGCGGATCCTCGGTTTTACACGTACATCGCCCAACTGGGCATGTAACAATACTCACAGTATGCACTTTCCCGGTTTGTAGTTTTGACTTGTTATTGTTATTTTCATTTACTTTTTCTCAGTTTTCTTGCTCCAACCAAAGCTTTTAAGCGAGCAAGAAATCGAAAATTGTCATGATGCTCCTACTCTCATGGCAATCCCTGTAATACTTTTGGCTTTTGCAGGTTGTGCCTAGCTGCAATGGCAGGTGTGTTTAGTCTAGAAAGTCAAACGGTTAGGACAAGGTGAATCAACTCAAACTTCAAAGGAAGTTGCACACCCTTATGTCTTCACGGCGGGCCAACACGTCATCGCGTAAGCGAATATAACACCGTGCATGGTCGCAGGAAATGGGGAACGGACACAGTGGACTGATTTGAAAGAATTTACACTTATGTCTTCACGGTGCTGAAGAAGCCATTGTGTCAGCAAAAATCACAACAATGCATGGTCCTGGGAAATGGGGAACGGACAAGGTGAATTCGAGTGAATTTTACACTTGGATAGTACACACCCTTATGTCTTGACGGTGGGGGCCAACACGCCATCGCGTAAGCGAAATCACACAATGCATGGTCGCGGGAAACGGGGAATGTAAGCGGTTCCAAGAGCCACAGAATGTTACGAGGGGTGGCACTATGCGTTCAATCGACTCAGTGGATTTCGGATTATTACCCAACGTAAAGGTCTTCTTCACTGTGACCAACAATTGTCTGTGATGTCCTTCTCATAGTATGCCAAATCACGCACCCAAGGGCGATCTGCCAGCCAACACAGGGACAGCCCAAGATCAAGTCGAATTGCATCCTCACACTTAAGTTGTTTGACCTTGACGGATAAACTAACTTTGGCGAATGAATGGCCAAGCACGTTAGCAATCCTTACCCACCCACCTCTCTACCTCCTCCTTTTTTTTTTTTCTTTTGGCCTGTCCACCTGCTTTTGCCATCTTTTTCTGCTTTTAGATGTTAGTGATATGTTCACACACTCCTTCAGGACATCTGCTTAAACAAAACGAATACAGAGAAGACGAGCATGGCCCTGCTATGTGTTCGCATACTCCATCCCAACTTTCGTTTGGAAAAAAAAGAAAAAAGAACTTCAGTTAAGAAAAGAAAGAACGTCCGTTAAAACTTTAAACTGAGACAGTACAGAGAACATTATCATAGCCCTGCACACAACCACTACAAATTAAAGCAATAGGCCGAGACGGTGGCAAGATCCTGAAATAACTGAGAAAATGTTCTTTAAAGTTTAAACTACCAGTCCCAGCCCCTGCCACACCCCCCAAGAAAACACACTCGTATACAACCTGTGAAAATGAAGGCTCGGCCTACTGGACCCAGGACCCGTACCGGGGGGATGCACAAAATTCCATATACCCCAACTTTGGTGATTCTTCATTCTCATTTTCAGTGACCAAAAATTCTAAAAGAAAAAAACTGAAAAACAAACAAAAATCATTTCGCCAAATTGGCCTACAAAATTAGTACAAATAATATTTTCTCCAAGCCAATTGCATAATTCGGTCAAAGCGGCTGTCATCCGGTAGGAGTGATGTTTCAGGCTGTGCAGACCCAGGCAGGTTGTTTTTCCGGTTCAACAAAATAGGTTAGTTGGGACTGGTGGTTTGCAGGTTGACTGCACCAATAATTATTTTAAATCAAATCGATAAACAACCGTGCAGAGCTTGAGATTAGTGTACGACATCGGATTATCAGTAAAGAGCTTCAGGCTTATGTAGAGACAATAACAAAGAAGAGTACACAACCAACAACACACATAAGCCATGAATCAATGAAGCGCAAAACTCTCTCTCTCTCTCTCTCTCTCTCTCTCTCTCTCACACACACACACACACACACACACACACACACACACACACAGCTCACCCCATGAATTAATGAAGAGCAAAACTCTCTCTCTCTCTCTCTCTCTCTCTCANCACACACACACACACACACACACACACACACACACACACACACAGAGCTCAGTGTATCTTGCCCTACCGCTGCCATGATGTGATCTCTGTTATGTCCACAAAAACCACTTCTTGTTGTTTGATACAGACGATGCACATTGCCACTAAAAGACATTATATTTTTGGGCAGTGCCACCAGTGCCAACCTCCAAGGGTCCTCTGCCAGTCATCTCTATCTCCAACTTAGCAATGACCCTTGTAGTCGATGTGAGCCTGCCCCAGAACAGAGATCTTTCTCTTCCAAGTTTGTCCCTGTCCAACTACCCGGTGACAGATGCTGTCTTCCTTCTCTATCAACTTCTAAAGGTGTGTGCTCCTAAGCGCCTTCAACCTTTGGCACATCCATGACATGAAATACCATGGACGTGCCAAACGACGATGGCCTGGAGAATCGTTGATGGCCACGGACTGTGCTTCATGACTTATTTGATTTCTGCTTGAACGCTTGGGCGTCAGGATACATCATCGCGTTCGATCTTCGTTACTCTTCCCTTTTTTCCTCCTCCTCCTCCTCTTCTTCTTCTTCTTCTTCTTCTTCTTCTTCTTCTTCTTCTTCTTCTTCTTCCTTCTCCTCCTTCCCTTCTTTCTTCCTTGCTTTCTTCCATTTCGTTTTCGTCTCTCTCCCCTACTCTTTCAAACCTCTACTCTGAGTTTCCTGTTTTTCCTATCAGTTGCTGGTTTGGTGCTTCGCTTAATCCATGAAAATGGAATGCCTTGATCTCCTAACTTAGTCCCTTGATTGCTTGATATTTTGGCTGCGAGTGCTTCAAATTCTTGTTGAAGTTTTGTATGGCACATAAGGTATGCTATTGCTAAAAGAGGGCTGAAGCATGGGGGCGAGAAAGAAGTAATAGGCACGATCTTCCTTATTGATTTCTCAGATGTTAAGGCTATTGTAATAACTCAACGTAAAATGTGCAATAGTCTTGAGCCACATGTCCGGCCGTAACAGGGGCCAAAGGCCACACCCAAGTCATAAAAATTGATATGAGGCCTGCTGCTGTGGTACCTGAAGCACGGCCTAAACAGGGTTTTCAGAGGCTCTGCGTGCGACAGTTGCGCGTGGAGAGTCAAAGGTCAACAGTTGAGCGTAGAGAGTCAAAGGTCTAACTAGAGACTAACTAGCTTTTTGATCCCCGCACACGTGTCAGATCAGATCGTCCTGATTCACGTGCAAAAGCTCCGATACCAACTGTTACATGCACAGATATGCAATGCACGTAATAAACCAAGAATCTGCAATGTGATGAAAAGGACTGGATAGACAATGCGGTACGAGTAGGATCTCGACAAGCAATGTACATTCTCATTCATACATAAAGATGCTGAAGAGCACAGGGAAGACTTGGACACAAGACTGACCTGACAGGACTGACCTCATTCACGTAGTTCAGAGTAACGAAGCAGAATGCTCGAGTACCTCTAACTAGCCCAATCAATGTTTGAACTCAGACTAAACATGCATTGTATCCATCACGAAGTGTGAAGGAGCCTGGCGCTGTACACAGGAAGAGAGCGCCAGGTCCAGACATACACAGACGAAGAGAGAAGGAACAGACAAAAGGAGGGAAGAAGATGGGAATGTCATTAACACCAAGTCTTGGTCACCAATCCCAAATAGTCCCTCGTTGCCATGTCTGAATACCCGAAAGCCGAGTCTGGATCAAATGTCACCAAGCTCTGTATCTCTTCTCTCATAGTCTGCAGATGCAGTGAAGTCAGAAGTGAGAGGGAGAGAAGAGATGGCGGACTGAGAAGAAGAAGAAGAAGAACTCTCTCTCTCTCTCTCTGTTACGAACCAAGTACTAACCTGTGATGTTGGCGCTGTGCTGCAGGTACCTCGAAGACGAAGCTGGACCAACGGCGCTGCAGGTAGGTACCTCTGGCCTCCGCCCAAGCTCTCTCTCTCTCTCTCTCTAGTACTACCTAGCTATGGCGCCCAGCGCTGGAGACTATAGCTACCTACTGCGCCCAGCGCTGAAGACTACTAGCTAACGCTACCACTACTACAACGCAGCGCTCCCTCCAGAGTGCTGCACCCGAATCCTGAAGACTACAACTGCCGAACTGCCTACCCGTGAAGTGCCTGGGAAGTCACTTAGTACTTCCTCGGCCTGCCTCCTGACTGCAGGAGGGCGAGCAGGCCGAGGAGGCAGTTCTTGCCAATGCCGAAGTGTGCCAAGGGCTGGCGTGCAGCAGCCTGCTTGAGGCAGGCGTGGGAACAGTCTAAATATAGGCTGTTCCCAAAACCCTGGTTCGGTGCCTGAGTTTCAGGGCCGGTCGTTCTGATGAACGATCGAAAATGGCCCTTGGGTTCAGGCTAAAAATGCTATTACCATTTTTAGTCTGAACCGTCGYAGGGGCTGTAGGCCCTGAAAGTTAGGCTTTCGGCCTGAACCGAAACGGGGCCTGTAAGCCCTGAATTTCAGGCTTTCGGCCTGAAATCCAGGGTTTTGGCCTGAATCCAGTCGGGCCTGCAAAATGGCCCGTGTGTGCACGAGCTGCATGTAACCCCCCCCCCTCCTTATGAAGTCAAGCCGGGGCGAGGGCGAAGCCGTCGGTCTGAAGGTGGAACCTGGACGCRGGCGCGGCATGGAGCCGAAGAATCCGGCTTGCCTTGCATCTTGCGTTCGTAGCGTGCGAGAACGTCTGGAGCTGTCGCTTGCAGTTCCGCACGGGTCAACCAACGATCAGCTCGATGAGTGCAGTAAGCAAAATGCACCAGATACTCAGTTGGCTTGTTGCCGTAGCGTCGCTGGGAGATGATGTCGCCGACCTCCTGAAAACCATCCATAGAAGGTGGATCCTGCGTACGTCTCCCGAGAAAATCATCATGTTCCGCAGGCGTGTACAAAGCCAATTTGGAACAATGAAAGACTGGGTAGACGGGCAAGTGGCTGGGCACCTGAATCGTGAAGGAAGGCCCCTCAGGTGCGTCCCCAGCGGGCTCGATGATCGGCCAAGGCCCCATCCATTTCGGAAGGAGCTTGCGAGAGATG